CATTTTGGAATCAAAATTGATTGTCTTTAGCTTGTTAGTTCATGCCCTACAGAAATATCATCAAAATGTCTTGGGTTCTATGTAATGTTTGATCGATCCCACCTCTAAAAACACCTTCAAATGTTTGGTTATGTCACTTTTTGACAGGAATATTAAACCTACTAATGATATAATAGCATCCCTCCAGCCTCACACAGGACATCTCAACCTCATACACATCTAGATCCATTTTAACGATAACCTGGCAGTCGTTTCTCTTCTGTTTTTGCTTTGAGAGTGAAAGAAAAGCAGAAGAAACACAGACGCTAACGGGCTAGCCCGCTAAGTGTTGCGTCGCCTCGTATACATCTTAATAAAGAAAAAAAAACACACACTAAAATCAAACTTTCAACAAACATCCAGTCATCTTTCTCACTCCCTGTTCCAATTCAGCCCAGTTTCCTCAATTATGCTAGTAAGAGCAGAGAAAACACAGTATTTCAGTTCAGAACTGGGCCTGAATATCTCTGGGCAATTGTGTTAGCCACAAGGCTATGAGCCCTGAAGAATGACCATCTGAAATCCCAGCACAGCCGGCCAGTCCCTAGAGCTCTAGGCCAAAGCCAATATGTGTGAATCAGGTGTGAAGAAGTAACTCAACACGCACAAACCGCGTACCAGCCGCGAACAGCACCGTCGAGCAGCGCACTCAAGCCATAACATGTTTCAGGAGTGCTAAAGTATGACTGACCTTTCGCTCTTCTGTCCACTAATGTGCCTTACAGTCTGTCAGAATGACTGTGTGAATCATATGAACATTATAGAGCATAATAGAACTGTACAATAGAAGCCATACTGCCCCCTACACCTCCTGTGGAGTATTGCAATCTGTCACAATGACAGTATGGATCATATGAGCATTATAGAGCATTATAGAGTGCTTTTTAAATGAAACAATAGAAGCCATATCGCCCCCTACACTTCCTGTAGTGTATTACAGTCTGTCAGAATGACTGTGTGGATCATATGAACATTATAGAGCATAATAGAACTGTACAATAGAAGCCATACTGCCCCCTACACCTCCTTCGGAGTATTACAGTCTGTCAGAATGACAGTATGGATCATATGAGCATTATAGAGCATAATAGAACTGTACAATAGAAGCCATACTGCCCCCTACACCTCCTGTGGAGTATTGCAATCTGTCACAATGACAGTATGGATCATATGAGCATTATAGAGCATTATAGAGCACTTTTCAAATGAAACAACAGAAGCCATATCGCCCCCTATGCTTCCTGTAGTGTATTACAGTCTGTCAGAATAACTGAGTGGATCATATGAACATTACAGAGCATAACAGAACTGTACAATAGAAGCCATACTGCCCCCTACACCTCCTGTGGAGTACTGCAATCTGTCACAATGACAGTATGGATCATATGAGCATTATAGAGCATTATAGAGCGCTTTTTAAATTAAACAATAGAAGTCATATCGCCCCCTACACTTCCTGTAGAGTGTTACAGTCTGTCAGAATGACTGTATGGATCATCGTTATAAATGTTAATAGAACACTGTATGTGTTTGGTCATCACTATAAATATTAATCCAACACTGTATGTGTTCAGTTATCACTATATGAGTTAATATAACACTGTATGTATTCAGTCATCGCTATTTGCATTAATCCAACACTGTATGTGTCCAGTGACAGCTATAAGAGTTAATCCAACACTACATGTGTTCAGTCACTGCTTTAAGGTTTAATAACATACTGTATAAGTTCAGTCATCGCTATAGAAGTTGATCCAACACTGTATGTGTTCAGTCATCGCTATAAGAGTTAATCCAACACCATATGGTTTCAGTTATCACTATAGAAGTTAATCCAACACTGCATGTGTTCAGTCATTGCTATACATGTTAATGCAACATTATGTGTTCGGTCATTGTTATAAATATTAATCCAACACTATATGTGTTCAGTCATCGCTATACAAGTTAATCCAACACTGAATGTGTTCAGTCATCGCTATACAAGTTAATCCAACACTGCATGTGTTCAGTCATCGCTATACGAGTTAATCCAACACTGTATGTGTTCAGTCATCGCTATAAGAGTTTATCCAACACTAAAAGTGTTCAGTCACAGCCAAAAGAGTTAACCCAGCACTGTATGTGTTCAGTCACAACTATAAGAGTACTCCAACTCTGCATGTGTTCAG